CTGGGCACTTACGGGATGCGCGAGGCACCCCTGCAACGATGCCACTCGCTTCCGAGAGGGCGTGCCTTGAGCAGACAACAGCCTTTTTCTCACTCGCGCATCAACTGTACGGCCGCCCCATGCAGTAGGGGGAGTCAAGCACCGGATTTTGACCCCCTAGTGCTGTGCGGTCAAATTTGACCGCACAGGCCTCGGCACTTAAGGGATAGGGGCACCTTTCTCATCAGGCGGCGCATCCTTGTAGGACCCTACTGTAAGCTTATCCATACAGGGTTTCCCTACAGTAGGCGTATGTATGCAGGGGTACCTCGCTCATGTAAAACAGAGAATCTGAAAACTCCTGCTTTCCGTTCCTTAGTTATCAAGGATCCCAGTGGAAACGCCCGCCTTCCGTTCCTTGAGTATTAAGAAACTCACGAAAAACGCTCTTCGTGTTTTTTTATCCTCAGCCCAGGGTCGGAGTCGGAGTTCCCATCCTACCCACACTACCTACAAGCCTCACGGCTCTCACTGCAACCCCCCTCCCACTCCCCTTCGCGTTCGACACTCCACCTGTGCCCTCTACACCGGGGGGGCTGATGTGATCCGAAAGGAAGCATGGCTTGCAAATAAGTTCCGGTGTCCGCCTATGGTGGGAGTTCAAAGAACCTCAAGGACCTAAAGGATCCTCACTCTCAGATCACTGCTCCTCCTTACCGCTGCCAGCCTGTGCAGGGGTACCTCGCTCATAAGAAACTGCCCCTCCCCCTTGGCCCCTACAGTAGGGCGGCGTCCCTACTGTAGGGCTATGCCTAGGGCCCTATGGGGTCCTGGGGGGGGGGCAGTTTCTTACGAGCGAGGTACCCATGTAGATGTATAGCAGGCCAATTACTAGAGCCCTGCGGCGATCCTGGGGGGGGGGGGGCTCCTTATGAATGAGCTATGTATCAGGAGGTTCAGTGGCTACGCTGTAGCCACAACGGGTTGGTTGCAAGGAAAAGGGGAGAGTGAAGCGATTCTTCGGGGGGGGGGGGCGAGATATAGGCCATGTTTTTCGTGGTGGGTGAGAAAACACCCGCCTTCCATTCCTCATTTCTTAAGAAACCCAGCGAAAACGCCCACCTTTCGTTTCTTAATTGACATTAATTCCGTTCGTTATTCATCAAGAAACTTACCTACCCCAAACACCCGATTACGTGAACCGTTCCGTATGATACAGGTACCCCTGTACCTAGGGCCCTACGGTGGTTCTTACAGGGGTACCTGGTTCATAAGAAACTGCCCCCCCCTTAGGACCACCGTAGGGCCCTAAGTATCCCTTAAGTGCCCATGCCTCCAAATTTGACGACCAAGAGGTCCTAGGCAGGTCCTAGGGCCCTACCGCAGGGCGTATGAGCCTACTGGTCACTTAAGGGATAGTCCTACTGTAGGGTGCTAGGTGGGCTCGGTTTGCTAGGTGGGCTCGGTTTCTTATGAGCGAGGTACCCCTGTAGGGGGTGACAAGGGCGGGGGGGGGGACGGTTGGCCGCCACCAACCCTCACGGGAGGATCAAATCGTCGATTTTAAATCCTTGGTTTTACCTGGGCAGACCCCTTTTTCGGAGGTCTGCCCATTCCTCCGTCAGGGCGGGGGAGGAATAGGTCCTTTAGGTTCTTCGAGCTCCCAACATAGGCGGACACCGGAACTTGTTCTGTGGATGCTTTTTGGACAGGCCATGCTTCCTAAGTCGATTTGGTAAACTTTAGGTAATTAAGGTTTTAAATGCTCCCAACGTACGCCAACGCCACGCCCTTCCGGATCTGCAGGAAAAGCATTTTTTGCTTTCGGCTCGCGTTTCCGTTTAGCTCCCCCCCCCCCTTCCTTTAGGTCCTTTCGGTTTTAAATGCTCCCAACATGGCCCAACGACACGCCTTTCCGTAGAAAAGATCTGCAGAAAAAGGGGGAAAGCAAGGTTTAATAGTGGGTAGCATGTCCTTTAGGTCCTTGAGGTTTTAATTTCTCCCAACATATGCCAACGACACGCCGTTCCGTAGAAGGGATCTGCAGAAAAAGCATTTTTGCTTTCGGATCGCGTTTCGCTCTCCAGTGCAGAGGCTCGTGAA